TAAACAATTTAGACTTTAGAACAGATAAACAACAATCCATGTCTGATTCAAGCTTGCTGTGATCAGATACTAGAGTATAGAAGTTAATATTAGTGATGGAGCTGAATATAAGAGGAATATTATAAAAGAAAATGATAAATACTGTCTCAGAAGCTACATCCAAAGTGTTATCTGATTGTTTATTGAAGTTATAAATGAGTTAGCAAGTGTTCTCACTAGTGGCATCACTGTGTGGCACAGCAATACTACCACGCACGACAGAGATGCACTACAAAAGGTTGTGGCAATGGCACAGAGGATTACAGGTTGTGATCCACACCATCCGCTGTCGCAGTAAAGCCCAATCCATCATTCAGGTTTCCAGCCACCCCAGCCACAAACTGTTCTCCCCCCCACCCTCTGGCAGGCGGTACTGCACTCTTACAGCAAGGACCACTAGACCCAAGAACAGCTTCTATCCCACTGCAGTACACATCCTCAACAGCTAACTGCAGGGCCTCAATACACACCTACACTATGCACTTTTTACACAGTCTACTTTTTTTTCTTTTGGTCTCACTACTTCATATATATTATATATTTATTGAGCTGATGTACAACATATTATATATTTGTTGAGCTGATGTGATTATTAAAAGAGTGAAATCTCATCTTTACATCTCACAAGCAAAGACCAAATGTTATTTCATCAGCGTGATTCCTTTTTAAAAATGGATACTAACGTTAAATAGATTATATTTTGATGAGCAGACTTCTAACGTCTAAGGACGGGCACTAATATATTTATAACACCCCTTTGCTTTTTTACTACAGAGAATCCAATTATTGGTTTGTCTGAAGAAAGTATATTAATGCGATTTTTATTGAGAAACCATATATTTTATGACTGCACAATGGCACAGAAATTTAAAAGATCAATGAGCAGAGAACTGCACTTCATGTTTCTTAATGAAATTGTTTTGTTTTTTTCTGAGGAAGTCCACCAAACGTGAACCAAAAGAAGGCAGTAAAAGGCAATATAGCCTACCTGCTCTTTTGAAGTGGAATTCAAGAGAAAAGGAAGAGGTGTCATTGGTTTGGGTCACATTGTCGCACAGAAGCTAAATCACTAATAACTTTTATTGCACCAGAAGCATGTCTCCAGCAAAAAAGGGAACTTGGAACATTTCCAAGATCAGTAAAGAGTTACTTAAGGTTTTGCAACCTCAAAAAGCTGTAATGCCCCTCTCTTCTTTCTTAAAATACTCTTTTGCTTTACTCAACAACCACATCTCAATCAGACTTATGTCATTTTAAGATATCTGAACACTGAAACTTAAAGGGTATGTAATTACTTAAGAAAACTAAGAACAAATACTACAAGACCATTGAACCACCTTGTTTGGCCTAGTGATATTCTAGAAGAAAGGGAAAAGATCAGAGTTTATTAAACAAAGATACTGCCAAAACTACACTACTTTCCTACATTTGTAAATGTTCTTGGCAATATTTGAAACACCATGTTGTACTGATAATAAACATAGCTTAATACACATTCAGCAATATAGCCAGTGTATAACATAATCTATACCCACATTTAATAATCAACAAAATAAATAAAGACATTGCCCAACCACCAGCATTCAGCTGTATTGGTTAACTCTAAGTAACAATTGGCTAAAGGCTAAAGCCAGTCTCTTAGAAACAGAATGTCAATAATAAGAGAAGCTTTTAAACCTTAGATGTGCAGAAACAGCTCTCACAGCAGGCAATGCTTTTGGCTTCCTTAGTAACCATGCAAGGACTGAAGCCTAGCTTATCAAAGCACACCACTACAACATGGCTACACAAAACTACATACTGCAATATTAAAAACCATGCATAAACAGTCAAAGGAACTCTTTCAATGAGGTTCCTGTCTGTAATTTTCATGGCACAAAAATATTTAAAATGTCAATTTAACAAATCAGTAACACAAAAACAAATTATCAGTTGATTTAACTTTTTTTTTCCTAATCAAATTTTTCCAGAGCATGGAAGCAATCTTGCTACCCCAAACATCCAAAATGAGTCATGTTTCCGACACACTAAGGTTCACTACAATAAGTGCTATTTTGTCATTTCACACGCTGAACTGAAAGGAAGTGTCATTGGGAATAAAAAAAGCTGCATGAATGCATTCAAAGCAGAGACCCGTTATTGAGCCAGTGGATGTTTAAATTTTTGATGCTTCTGAATAACAAATTTGGCTTCCGCTTCTGAATCAAATCTGGCATGTGCCTCAGCAGGCACTGCACAGCAGCGGAAAGCATTGGCATCAAGTATTCAGCTCAAGTAGCAGGCGGCGCCTCTCTCTAAACTATCAATCTGCAGTGACACCCTGTACTGTACTGCCAACCAAAGTTTTTTGCTGCAGTAGCGGGTAAGGCCCAGACTGCAAAAGAAAACATTTGTTACAAATAGTGTTACTCTGGCAAGGCACATAAATTCATCCTTCTTTGACAGGACAGCAGCAAAATAATATGTGGACTTGTAAGAAAGCATGGGCATTTGTGGTACATTTTCTACTTTTTGCTAATCTTTAGTAGTTAAGAGAACACACAACACATTGCTAAAATACTTTTTCTGATATTCATATTTGGCCATTTTCATTCATCCTCCATTTTCTTAATGTTTTATTCAATTCAAGGTTGAAGGGGACAATAGAACCTAACCTGGCAAGCAATGGGCACAAGGCGAGATACACCCTGGACAGGACACCACGGCATCACAGACTAAACACAGACACAAACACACACACACACACATACACACACACACACACCCTCATACCAGGACCAGTTTTCCTACAAGCCAATTCACTTACCAGCATGTCTTTGGACTGTGGGAGGAAACAGGAGCACCCTAAAGGAACCGCATTCAAACATGAGGAGACAGAAAATGTCCACGCAGGTTGCACCTGCAGGAATTTTACCCAGGGTGGGGCACTGTGAGGGAGAAATACTAACCACTGCACCACCACAGAACAGTGGATTTCATCCAGTTTTGGAACAACAAAATAAAAAATCCAATCATTCAGGGAAGTCTTGTTTCCGTCAACAAAAATTGCACTCAGATCTTTTTTATATATACTGTATATGCATTTGTACATCTTGCATCTTACGGTATATGCATTTGTATAGTCAGTTGGTACAAATATACAGAACGAAAAGGTTTTGTAAGAGAATTGCAATTGAGCAAAATGCATCTATTCCTAAGGACTATCTAAATGAAAGCAAAAAACTATTTTTTTGTTTTAGTATTTTCCAAATATAGCAACATGAAGAGCCGAGCAAACACAGCTCATATCTCATTACCCAGGTGAGAGAGACACTGGCAATGATTAGGCAGAATGCAAGTCTGCCCTTGCTCAGCTTTTTAGTGGATTAGCAATACCACTGTCTGCTCCAGCCCTAGCAGTCCCTCACAATGTCTGTAACCTGCAAACACATTGTGAGCTGTCCTTATAAAAGGAAGACTGCTATTAACCTGAGACTGCACCTAAAAAGACAGAAACAAACATTGAGACTGTTTTTGTGTGGATGACTAAAGTCATTTTCAACACTTGCAAAACAGCAGAATCTTTGCAGGAAATACAGGAGACAATCTGTGTAGGTCATTCTATTTTGGATATTACAAAGACTTTAAAGCTGTCTTTGTTTCTTATGCCACCCAGTTAACATAGACATCATTAAAACCTGCTGCATGTTAATATATTACTGAAAGGTGCATTCACTTTACGTCAGTGCTTCCAGCAAAACATCAGGAACATACAGTACATTACCTACAGTACTTTCTAATTACATGAAAGCTGCAGGCCTGCAGCCAATATTTAAAAGCGTTAGATGGCTTTTTATTGTTGAAAGCAAAAGCCTTATTTAGAGGAAAATCTGAATAATTGAACATCAGAAGACAATATAAGCACAGGGCCCTGCAATAATTAAAGTATACAATTTAAAGAAATGCTAAATTGTTAAACTATACTGTACCAAGCTTCAAACTCTTATCAAAAATGATTTCTATAATGGTTAGCTAACTGTGAATACAATAGATAATTTAACAAACAATTCTAATTCTGAAACATTACTGCTCTTTTTTCTGTCCAGAAGAGTGATGACAGGAACACGCTTGTCATGTTACTTATAAAAGATGTACAATACCACCCATGATAATTCTGTTACTTATTACTACAGTACATTAATACTGGGATCATACCTCAGTTTGGGATAAACTTCTGGAATGAAATGATGAAAGGAAATCTGAAATGAAATGCTTTAGATAATTTTATGTGATTTTTAGGACCCACCCTCTGTATACCTGTCTGGGCTTCTAATGAGCAGAAGAACAGAATGCACATTGTTCACACAGCCCCTGACAAGCTTCAGCACCACATCGATACAGGGAGCTGGAACAGTGGGAAGTGGTGTATAAAATTCAAAATAAATACTGAACATGAATAAAGATTAATTATGATTGATACTTCATTCATGAACAGCTCAAACTCCCTCCAACAGATTATTCTGAAGTGCCCATTATTATACCAAGTCACATCCACCACATGACAATAATTGATTGAGTTTAATTAATTAACCCAACAGCTGACCTTCAGTTTTTGTGTCTTTAAACACAATTCCAGCAATACAGGATTCATTTACATTACATATATGAAAAATAAATATGATGAATATTGAAACCCATCAGCTAATCACTTCACAACAGCTATTACAGCTGCCACAATCAATATGTTGGTACCACTGTACACTGAAATACAAAAAGTTCCAAAAACTGTAGAAAGTAAGTGAACTTAGATACTGCACTGCGGAATTATTTTTGAAATGCTTATCCCCTTTAATTCTGATACATACATTTAAATTAAATTTTCGATTTATCACGCTCACAAAAAGTAATGTGTCGCCTGCAATAGAACGAGCGTTCGAATGAATGAAACCAATAAGAACATTTAGGTTATCTTCAAGCCCTACCTTGCAATTTTTGCATCACATTTGCAATATCCTTTGGGGACCTTCCAAAGTGTCTTGGTGAGGCCATGGTGCTTCTCCAGAACCATAAGACTTTGACTCTGTGTACGTTCTATGCCATACCAAAGGCTAATGCAGACAGGATGAAGAGGTTGCACTACTTCCCTGAAGAAGGCATCCTTCCTGTAGCTGCCTCTCTGAACCACACTCACGCACTGAGTCTCTCTAGCTCCGAGAATGCAAGGCTTGATTCTCCGTCAGGCAGCAGCCAATGGGAAGGCAGGTTTGACAAGACTGCTCGAGCTTCCCTGCCAATGGCAGACGTCCTTTTTTCCTCCCACTGACTTCAGCTACCGCCTGAAAAGGAAAGAGGCAGAGTCTTCTGTTAGTGTAAGTCAGCAAGGTGCCCTAACACAAGGAACTCAAAGCTCATCATCTCATTAGCTATTCTTCTGCTGCAGCAGCGACATTGTCAGCACCAGTGTCACACGAAGACACAAACATTAGGACAGCATTTGTATTCTCCAATTTACAATTATAATAAATGAATAGATACATAAAACAGACAAAGAAGAGTGCCAGACAGGAGAGGAACAAACAGAAAGACAGGTACTAATATAGATACATTTTATATTAACCTGTGTTCAAGCATTTAAAATGAGAATAACTTTGTTTCAGTAGCTGTACCAGAAAATTGATGCTTAACATTCCCACCCCATACATTTTATTATTACAAACTACTGTAGAAGTGACATTTTCTAAATTCTTGGATTTCTGCTGTTTAAAATATAAGAGGATGCTGCAACATTGCAGAAATTAGCGCAATACCTAAAGGGGGTGGATCCATTCATCCCCCATGATTAGCAATGCACATGCTTTTAAAACTCAGGAAGGAAGACAGGCCAGCCACAGCAGTACAGCTAACCAGAATCTGACCTGCATTGAATGTATGAATTCATTGGATGCATTGACTACAAAATAACTGTTCTTCTAAATACTGTAGCTGTACTTTCAGTGGGATTATTGCTCTACAACATCCCCCAGTAAAAGCTGAATTAATATCTGTGCACTGTATTACAGTATATGTTGCACTGGAGATAAAGCTACACCGCATCCCTAATAAAACAGAAAATAACCAAGAAAAACTTGGTTATGAATAATATCATCATGAGAAAAGAGGGACAAAAAAAAATCAAAAGCAGTGTAATGGGAACGATTCAGTAATTATTTGAAAAAAATGTTTAGGAATGTTATATAATGAATAAAACATTTTCTCATTGAACAAATAGTGAGCATTTCATTCAATGAAGCACATTTCAATTTCAATTTTCTTCTAGGGAATATAACCAAAATCAGCTAAATTAAAAAGGATTATGTTTAGTGCACGAATATTACATTTTCAAGAAGTACCACAGTTCACTTGAATTAAATCGTTCTTACTATGTTACTATGTTGCGAAATCACCAAATACTGTAAGTGTTAAATTAATTCAGGAAGCAGTTTTTTTTTATCTTACTCCTTCAAACTAAAAATAATGCAATGCAAAAAATGCAATTTAAAAATTGAACCACTTTCGTATAGCAGCCTCAAAGACAAATTAAATCATAATTTAGACCCAAATGAAAACCAATGAGTAATCAATACATGTATATGTTTTGATTTATAGGCTTCATTGTGCATTACAGGGAAATCTTTCATATGCCAATAAGCACTATCAAATTAAATTGCAACAATACAGCATTTAGCCTTCGTAATACATTCCAAACTAATGTGCAAATTAATTTGTACTTTACGTACAGTATCAAAGTGAAAAAATGTTTTGTATATTAAAATGTTTTTTTAACTAAACGCAACGGTTATTGGAAAGAGTAATAAAGTAATAAATCTAAACAGAAAAGCGTTTATGATATAAAAGATTGAAGGATTCGAAAGCCTTACCAATGTGCAAACCTCTTGGTTATAGTCTGAGAAGCGTGTAAACTTGGAGGAGGCTTCTTTGGTTACTACAGTTGCCAATAGAAACACAACCAAACTGCTATGTATCCAGTTGCCAGTCAATTGTATCAAACCTCCTAGCGTGTTTTGCTCTGATATCGGAGACTGGATACATCAAGGATAATATGTTTTCGGTTTTTCTTTTAGCTAAGCTTTGTTTTGTATCAATATTTCTCCTTTGGGTCGCTTTATTATAAATTCGCTGAAAACCTCTCGCAGCGTGATGCGTTGCTGTCTTGATTCGCTTTTCTGAGGGAGTAGAGCCGGGATTCGTCCCTTTCGCTGGCCCCCTCCTCCTACGACGACTAGAAAGGGCGGATATGTAAAAAGTCACTCTTAAGAAGAAGAGTAGATTTTTCGAGTCTGTAGTAAATTAGGGAGAGAATACTTCAAAGCAATTCTGCGTAAATCAGAAGGCTGAATTCTTAATGCACCTTCACGCCAATCAACAGAATTAAACATTGTGCAGCATGGTGAAGAAAAAAAAAATAATATAACAGTATGTTCATAGTTAGTGCAAATCATTTACGAATGTTTAAAAGTTAACTTTTGCAGCTCGACCTTGTAAATTGTCAGTTAACACTGTTAATGAGTGGGAGGAGTAGTTAACAAAAAAGAACTTGCCGTATACCGTAAAATTTATTAAATATAATACATTTTAAAGATAAGAACTGGCCATTGCATCCATTCAGCGTGAGAGAATGAAAGGATGTTGTTAACGTTGCAGAAGCTGTTAGGAAGAAGCCAAAATTAAAACAGCTTTCTCACCCTCTCTCCCACACCCCCCAAAAAAGTGTTGCGTATAATGTTGGTGTGATGGATGTGGTTGGCTCAGTTTTTCATGACACACTTTGTGTCTTGTCAGTGTTCGCAAGGATACAGCCTTTAACTTATCTCAGTATATAATAAATTATTAATATATTTAAATGCAAAAAATACTCTGTCCTTTTGAGTCCCATTGGAAATGTGTCACGCTACTTTATTAGATTTTCTTTGTTTATTTAATATATACAATCTTTGGGTGTCTTACAGATTACTTGTGATTTGCTTTGTTGTTCGCACTTCAATTCCAGTTTTCGTAATGTTTTTATTTTAATTTTAACTTTTAATATGTCACATCGCGCAGTACCCACTGTAGGCTACTACTTTATGTTCTCCTCTGTTTTTTTTTAAAGTGTACCTTTGCCACCATAACTTTCAGAGAACATATTGTAAATCATTGAGCTCTGAATGTATATGGTGGACTGTACAGAGGTGACTTATAAATGTGCTATTGTACAGCACTTTCTGTTGGTTAAAAAGCACACAATTATATTAATCTTAAACTGTATACAGTACAAATACAGTGCATGCATAGGGTGGTCTTCTTTCCTAGACATGAAACATTAATTTTAGTCATACTGGTTTAGAGTTAATGAACTTGGTCCTTGAGGTGAACCTTCGCTGACAAATGTCGGTGCATAAAGGAAGCTTAGGGTTTTCCATCATTGAGACTGTAGGAATTACATCTCAAATCTTCTATTTCCATGACTGATGCCATCTTCTAACTGAGTGTATTGAGTGATATGGGAACTGGCTTTCTGTGCCCAAAGACATTAATTAGTGCCTGGAATCAACTGCTGATTTAAACTGCCCTTTCATGTGTTAATGTGATGTTCAATTAAGAGCCACTGAAAAGATTAGTTACTGTGTAACTAATAGTTACTCATTTGGTATTTGAAGTTGCATCAATAAAAATAATAATAATTCACCATGACCTTGAGCTTCCCTGACAGAAGCAGTTCTTTATATATCCAACCATTTTTTAATTAAATGGTTATTTGGTTTTGGTGCACGATAATCGGGCGACACGGTAGCACAGTGTTTTGCATTGGAAGGATGTTTCAATAAATAAATGTGCTGAGGACTTCACGTTAAAAAAAATCAAATGAATACACTTTGTGGGATGTATGGATATTCGCTTGTTATGCTTTCTGGCACGTAGGGCAGCAGCATCCTGTTGCTGTTTCCATAACATTCGTTTTTTTTATGGGACAGGGTTGTTACTGTAGCCTCGTGCCCAACCTCCAACATGGAGGACCTGGCGCCCAACATGGAACATGAATCCACTACCCTGAGATTATGAGTCTCAAGCTCTACCAAAAGAGCTAGTCGGGGCCCTTTTCAAATGCTTTGGATAAGCTATATTTGTGATGTTATGGTTGCAGTGCTGCTATACACTGCAGTAAGAGCTGCCCTCTAGGTCAGCTGTAATGCTCTGAATGGCCTCCAGAGGTTTTACTAATGATCAGGCATTGTCCACTCAGACAAACAACGCTCAAAGTCTAGCCTTGCCCTTACCCTGCATAATCAGTTCCATTGTGCTTGCAGGCAATGCAGTTGTGTGTCTTGGCTAGAGTGACTGGCGGCACATTATGAAAGATCAGGCTTGTGGCTTGCAGTGCTTTGTAATGCAATGTGCCTTGCAATGGAAATGCATGGAATGTGCCCCTAATGAAAATGCCTGCACTGCGACTGGTATCCAGAATTATTGCCAAAATTAAAATCTCTTGCTATAGAAAGGGCATTTCTGCACCTATCTCACAAGACTTTTCTGTACCTCTCTCACAAGGCTGTGGTAAGCATAGAGAATGTATACTACCATACAGCATATTTCAAGTCCACCTTTACCTTGGCAGAGTAGATGAGCTCATTCTGAACATTTAGTGATGTTCTCTTCCCAGTCAGCCTTTGTTGTCATCTGTTTGAGTGACTGACTTGTAGGAGATATCATTGTCAATACTGTAGGATTATTTGTAAAAGTTGTGGGCAGTGACTTAGCATGTGCAGAAATGCTGAAAAGGCTTGATGATGTTCTTTCTGCTTGCCCTCAGATATAATCACATTAGAAAGGCTACACACGTGAGGAAGTCACTTAGTACTGTACATTGAGTTTCTTGCTTGCAAGCTGCTTATTAATTCAAAATTTTTGTCTAATTGTTCCTTAAGGAAATCCCAGGGCACCTGACTTAACAACAAAGCTAAGCAGTTTGACCAAACCCTTAGTTTTCACATCCACAGATCCCAATTTCACTGTTGGTCCTAAAGTAATCCCCTGGATTCACTTTGTCAATATATTTTTGGCCTTGAAATATTTGTAACAACCCTGGAGTTTCTACCATATTTAAAAATTAATGACTGTCAATTTCTTTAAAATGTCTTATTTTAAAATTATTGCTTTGAGGTAATTTTGCCATATTTGGAACTAATTCTAATAAATCCTGAACATGGTATTCTACACGGTGGAATTATAACACAATTTACACTTTGCAATTTTACACTTTACACAGTGTATCCTAGCATTTTGTTGACCTTGTTATTGTTTCATCACTTTGTCTGGATGAGGGATTAGACACATACCTAAATCTTCATCATAACTCACGTCAGACTCAAAGAAAGTTTAAATACTTATGGTAATTATATTCTTGCTTTGTTCTTACATACATTTACCTGCCTGGATTTCTGTACCATCCAACCTGGATGGCGTCAAAGTCTTTTTATATTAAAATTAAAATTCTTAAAAGGTATTTAATATACTTGT